CGCGCGTCAAATTTTGCCGCAGAGAACCTTTGTAAGTTACACATCACAGGGGCAACAACAGGCTGACAAGAGTTTTGCAAAACAGCAGAACAACATGACATAAACCAAGCATCACTATCCGACCGCCGTTTCCCACAATTTTACGCCGTAAAGCAAGAAAGAAAACTCTAGAAAGCTTTCCGTACAGCCGGTCCTCGTCTTACAACCGCAATGGAGACCGGAATTTCCATTGCAGCTCTCAAGCGACTCGCGCCTGATTTTTATCATCCTTTTTGGCCCTGGGGATTGATCGCTGCGGTTGTTAAGTGAATCACATGGTTGTTAAGTGAATCCGGCTTCCCACACATCAACAGGGCGTATTGGAAGCCGGCTGGGGAGGTCGCGACGGGTGATCACGTGAGGCTGCGTCCGTCGTAAAAGACATGCCAGTTCCTAAGCGTTCCAATTTTGATCACATGACGGTCGTAAGTGTGAGGACCGATCGCCTTTTTTCAGGGTCATTGTGACTTTGAATGGGTGGTGCGGGGCCTAGAGATAGAGTTCTTTACTCACAATCAGGAGGCTGTGAGTTTGATCCTAGGTAGAGGCAGATATTTCTCTTTTTGGGCACAATGAGAATTTATCTGCTAAGCAAAACTCCGTACTGGCAACAGGGAACAGCATCCGGCCATTAAAACACTCTGCTAGCTACATTCAGTTGCCCTGACTCCACCCTGCAAGGTATTATAAAGTCATTAAAAGATGAGGATTGTGACTTTGAATGGTTGCTAAATGAATGTTTGTAAATGGAGGATTACCTGTATTAGATCAGATTATTACAGTCCTCGATTTACAACAGTTCATTTAGTGACGTTTTTTAGTTACAAGGGCATTGTAAAAAGCAACTGCTTTTCACACTTATGACTGTTGCACCATCTCCATGTTCACGGGATCGAAATTCGGACGCTTGGCAACTGACTCGTATTTACGACGTTTATAGGGTCCCAAGGGGCACGTGATCCCCTTTTGTGACCGTCCGACGAGTCGATGGGGAAGCCGGATTCACTTAACAACCGTGTCGCTAACTTAACAACTGCAACGATTCCCTTGACAACTGTTGTAAAACGGGACGGAACTCGCTTAGCGGCCGTCTCACTTAGCGACAAACATTTCGGTCGTAAGTCGAGGACTATCTGTAGTTCATTTAAATCCTGTTTTTTTTCCCCAAGGGTGGGCTTCTTGCTTGAGAACCAGGAAGGGGTCTTCACGCCCATTGTTACATGACGAGACACCCCCCCCCCAGACGATTTAACTCTCTTCTTTTTGACCGAGAAATCTCGATTTAAGTCTCTCTTTGCAGAATCCAAAGCTAAAAACGCTGCAAAATTAATCCTCATTTTTCACCTTCTTTGGTTGAGACGAGACGTTAAAAGAGAATTAAGTCAGACGAGCTTCCCTGGACCCCCCCTCCCCACCGCCGACGTAAACCAGAACAGACTGCCATCCACCACAACAAATGGATATATCCCTTTCGCTTCGGCCCCGATCGGAGAGCGAATTCGGAGTTCGACGGAGAGCGTCATTCTTCCGTGAATTAATCCAGATCGAAATATTGAAAAGTCGAGAAAGTAGGTGGATTCTGGGTCAGGAGAGCATCTGTTGGTGGCGGTGGTTTTTTAAAGTCAAGGTGGCATCCGCGTTTGTGCAGCCAAGTCCCTGCCCTATTTTTTTCCATGCGCGTGGCGCAGGCGCGACACAGGAGACCTGTGCACAATCAGAGCTGCCATCTTCCCTTCTTTCTGAAACATTCCCCCCCTCCTCTTCCAGATGTGGTTGGGCGATAGCGAATATTCGGATCCTTTTTGGGGAAGTGTGCTCGTTTGCGGCCAGAGAATCGGGGATGCGCCAGCCTCCAAAAGCACAGCATTTTCACATGCCACGACGTGTGAAGATGTGAAGGATGCTCAAGTGTTCGATTTCAGCGAAACACACCCAAAAATGGATGTCTTTTTTTAAAACCCTAAATATTGGTGGCGGATTTATTTTAGCACAAAATGATTCGCGGCGCAGTGTTTCAACGCGAAATATTTGCCTCGGACTTTTTCGAACGCGGAATATTTGCGGCGGGCTTTTTTCCAACCTGAAAATTGTGGCGGATTTTTTTAAAAATACGAAATATTTGTGGGAGAGGGTTTTTTTTCCACGCGAAATATTGGTGGCCGAGTTCTTTTCATATGAAATATTTGTGGAAGACTTTTCAAACCCGAAATATTTGTAACAGACTTTAAAAAAAAAACCTGAAATAATGGTGGTGGGTGATTTTTTTTTACATCCGAAATATTTGCAGTAGAGTTTTTTTTTTGAACACGAAATATTTGTGGCTTTTTGAACACGAAATATCGGTGGCAGGAATTTTTTGAACGCAGAATAGCTGCGTCAGACTTCTTGAACACGAAATATATGTGCTGGGTTTTTTTTAAAACACAAAATATTTGTGGCACCCATTTTTTTAAATACCGTTCGAGCATTAAGCAGATGTTTTTAACACAAAATGAGTGTGGCAGACCCTTTGAACATGAAATATTTGTGGCAGACACTTTGAACACAAAATATTTGTGGCAGATTCTTTTAACACACAATATTTGTGGCAGACTTTTGAACACGAAATATTGGTGGCAGAATTTTTTTGAACACAAAATATTTTGTGGCACCAATTTTTTAAATACCGTTCGAGCATTAAGCAGATGTTTTTAACACAAAATGATTGTGGCAGACTCTTTTAACGTGAAATATTTGTGGTAGACTTTTTTGAACACAAAATATTTGTGGCAGACCCTTTTAACATGCAATATTTGTGGCAGATTCTTTTAGCACGAAATATTTGTGGCAGACTTTTGAACAAGAAATATTGGTGGCAGAATTTTTTTAACACAAAATATTTGTGGCGCCAATTTTTTTAAATACCGTTCGAGCATTAAGCAGATGTTTTTAACACAAAATGATTGTGGCAGACTCTTTTAACATGAAATATTTGTGGTAGACTTTTTTGAACACAAAATATTTGTGGCAGACCCTTTTAACACGCAATATTTGTGGCAGACTCTTTTAGCACGAAATATTTGTGGCAGACTTTTGAACAAGAAATATTGGTGGCAGAATTTTTTTAACACAAAATATTTGTGGCGCCCATTTTTTTAAATACCGTTCGAGCATTAAGCAGATGTTTTTAACACAAAATGATTGTGGCAGACCCTTTTAACGTGAAATATTTGTGGTAGACTTTTTTGAACACAAAATATTTGTGGCAGACACTTTGAACATGCAATATTTGTGGCAGATTCTTTTAGCACGAAATATTTGTGGCAGATTCTTTTAACCCGAAATATTTGTGGCAGTCTTTTGAACAAGAAATATTGGTGGCAGAATTTTTTTGAACGCAAAATATTTGTCGCAGTCACTTTTAACACGCAATATTTGTGGCAGAATTTTGAACACGAAATATTGGTGGCAGGTTTTTTTTTAACACAAAATATTTGTGGCACCAGTTCTTTTAAATACCGTTCGAGCATTAAGCAGATGTTTTTTAACACAAAATGATTGTGGCCGACTCTTTTAACGTGAAATATTTGTGGCAGACTCTTTTGAACACGAAATATTTGTGGCAGACTCTTTCAACACAAAATATTCGTGGCACACCAATTTTTTAAAATACCCGTTTGAGCGTTGGGCCAGGCTGGGCCACCGATTCCTTTTCAGATCCCAAATCTACCTTGGCAAATCTGATGTTTTATGCCACTTATTATGAAGGCAAGTGTCCCATTTTTCTGCTGAAAAACAACCGGAATATTCGAAGCCATCAACTCATGCGAGGGGGAATAACATCACACTGAGCTCATTCATCCTTACACACACGGGGTGTGTGTGTGTGTGTTTTGCCACATCACCACAACTGATTTCTCTTTTTTTTCCCCCCCTCTCTCCTCCTTTCCACCATCTTGGGCGCGTGCATCTGTGTCACCTTCTCTGCGCGGAAAGAGAGTTTTGCCTTTCCGATAGGGAGGTCAGCCAATTAATTGACTCATTAACTTATTGCATTTAAATAAATCTCCATATTAGCAGAGGCTGGATGCCCGGCCTTGTCAAAGGAAATAATGAGAGAACTTGCAACGGAATAATTAAAACCTCGGTGGGCAAGACGGGAGGTTCGTACGGGGAGGCTATCGTCCCTTCCAACTTTTGGAGAGCTTCCAAGCACATTTTGATAGAACTACTGAAGTCCCACTCCTCCAGCAAGTGGGGGACCCTCCGAAACAGGTCCATCTTCCAACGGGTCCAACAAACACCCCAAAACACCTAACAGGTGCCACCTCTCTATCACCGCATTGTCAGAGAACACAACTCAACTCGTAGATCTCCAGAAGATGTCTTCCCAAACATGGCATCTCGGAGAGAGAAGGAAGGAGAAGAAATCTACAAGGTCCATCTTCCAGTGGGTCCAACACATACCCCAAAACACCTAACAGGTGCCACCTCACTATCACCGCATTGCCAGAGAGCACGACCCAACTGGAAGATCTTTAGAACATGCCTTCCCCAACGTGGCATCTTGGAAAGAGGAAGGAAGGGGAAGAAATCTACAAGGTCCATCTTCCAGCGGGTCCAACACACATCCCAAAATACCCAACAGGTGCCACCTCTCTATTGCCACATTGCCAGAGAACACAACTCAACACGGAGGTTCTTCAGAAACGTGCCTCCCCCGAGGTGGCATCTTGGAGAGAGCAGGACGGAGAAGAGCTCAACCAGGTCCAACCATCCCTGAGGTTCTAGCCTCTCCCCTTTTCACCGGCCACTTGAGCCGAACAGAATCTGGATTCTCCTTCCATTGTTGATGGACAGGCGTAGCAGACGAGGATGGTTGAGGTGGACCTCAGAGACGGTGCACAACTCTTCCATTTGGGCACCCCAATTTTTTTCAACTTCTAACTTCTCCTTCCTTCCTTCCTTCCTTCCTTCCTTCCTTCCTTCCTTCCTTCCTTCCTTCCTTCCTTCTAGAGTCCTCTTCAAGGAGAGAAGGACCACCACACCTCCCTCTTCCAACGGAACCCAAGAGTTGAAATCTTACAGATCCCACCAAGGAAGAGCAACGCATGAGAACAGCACCCATCACAGAAGGAACACCCCATTACCAAAGGGGGATACCCCCAAAGGGGTCCATAATCTTAGCAGAGACCCTCCTTCGGGTCTCTTCTGTCCAGCTTTCCCCCTTGGCTTCATTCGGGCTGCCCCCCGGGACCTCCACCCATTGTTCCCCTCTGGTTTTTTAAGACAGGGGAAGGGTCTCCTACCCCCATACCTGGAACAGGGGAACATCCCTCCCTTTTTAGAGAGGGTTAAAAGGAAAGAAAGAGAAGCCAAACATCAGAACTCAAGGCGGGAGGAAAATACACAGCGTGATTTAGGCAAATAGAGATCATTAGTTCTAATATATATATTCCTGTTGCTAGGAAGCGTTGCCTTGCATAGCGACAGCCCGCAAATTGTAGCACTTATGAATCACAGGATTTTTCTCTCTCTCTTTCTCTCTCTCTCTCTCTTTCTCTTTCTCCCCTCTAATGTGCGCCAGAGAGGTTTTTCTGACAGCCCCTCTCCAAGCTCACCTCTTCCCCTCTACCCCCAATTCTTCTCCCACCCCCCATCTCCCCATCCCTCCACGGGGACCCTTCCCAAGGCAGGGGGGAAAAAAATATGACATCACCCCAAATTAACTGGGATCGGCCTCTCTCCTCTCCTGCATCGCTCTCTCCTTCTCTCTCTCTCTCTCTCAAAAGTGTGCAAAAGGAGGACTTGAGTTTCAGAAGTTGTTGGGGGGGGAGGATTGAAGCCACAATTGTTAACAGATGAGGAGTCAGGCCGACACTCCCGGGGAGCGTGTAAGAGTGTGTGTGTGTGTGTGTGTGTGTGTGATTGTGATTGTGTGTGTGTGTCTGTGTGATTATCCAGAGTTGGACTGGCAGGCGTGAAAAACTGGTCTGAAAAAAAAAAACAGGAAGAAGAAGGAAGGAAGGAGAAAGTTCACTTTTGGTCTCTCCGCCACCCCATCTTTGAACAAGGCATGGGGTCCCACACACACACACACACTGCACAAACACACACACAA